ATCCGGAATCGCCGAAGTCCCGACGAGTCCGGATTAACGACTTTTGACTGTAGTATCAAAATAGTACAGCTAATATATATGTTTCACACTGTGAATTAAAACTTCGGTTTACATGTCTTTCTCATTTATAGAGAGTTGCCATTTAATCAGGAGAATAAAATTCCGACTTTCCAGGTGTGCTTTAAGAAAATTTCAGTCTATCTACGTAGTAGTATGTGTTGGCTGTGCTAAAAGATGAATAATCTCCAAAGCATTACTATTATAACTATAATAGGAGTTGCTTTCTCCACTGAAGATTGAAATTAGTATCTGCCCAATCTGGATTCAAAAATGTCTTTTTCTGCAGCTAAATGAAAGAAAGAAATATATTTAATGATATTGTTACGAAATGCACAGGCGCGATGTGATAGCTTCCCTGCAAAGCAGGTTTAGGGTTGCTAGAAAATGGCAAAAGAAGGCAGGGTTGCCACATTTGGCGAAAAATCGTCCATTTGGCGATATGCCATGGACAGATGGAGAACCTTCTGGAATGAATTCTTACCGGTTTAGTCCAGAATGTTGTTGAACACAAACCAAAAGATATATATATATATACCCTGCTGGTACGAGGAGAGTTAGTTAGCGTGCCTCGTATAGCGAACTGATAGTCGTTGCGCGAGTGTCTCTAAGTCTAGTGCCGAGGTCATTGAGTCTTTTAATGCATTGTTGAGTTTTGTCTTAGAGTGTGCTAAGTCGAGATCTGTACTCTTGTGTATCGTCGAGTGCATCATGAGTTGTAGCGTGGAGAGTCTTAAGAGTAGGTGGAGTTCCGAGAACAACCGAGCATTGTCGGGAGCTGTACTCTGGTGCTTCACAGTAAAGCTGTCTCGACCGTTATAGTCCGATAGTATGAAGGCTGTGTCGCTGCTTGTGTCAGCGTGTTTATAGTAGTTCTTCGACGACTGTAAAACATGAATTTGGAGCTGTTTTGATTAATATTGAAAGTGAGTTTTGATATTTCATTAAGTGTCGTCGTTATTCACTCAAAATCTACGAACTCCGTATGAACTCGCGTTTAACGAAAGCGAGTTCATACGGGCTTCGGGAAGAAAATAACTTAACAACTGGTGTCAGGAGTGGAGTTTGCGAGTGAATGCCAATGACTTGCCTGCAGAGGAAATGATGACTTTGATGGACTTCTTGGCTGAGATGAAAGCCGGACAGGAAGAGCTGAGAGCTGAACTGAAAGAAATGAAAGCAGGATAGGAGGAGATAAAGGCTGAGATCAAGAGCGAAATAAAAGCCATAGAAGAAAAGATGCAAGAGAAATTCGAACAGATGGAAGTGGAACAAGAAAAGATTAAAAGCGAGATCATGGAGCTTAGAGAGGATACTGGAGCAAAAATAACAGCTGTGGAAGAACAATTGAGAAAATTAAAGAAAGAAATAGATGTTTTGAAAAAAAACCGGACTGAGCCCAAGAACGAAGCTGCAGATTTCAAACTTCAACGCCCTCTCGAATGTGCTGGAAATGAGATTTGGTGAAAAGTGAGCAAAGGACTGTAGCCGCCAACAGTCGAAAACTCGCCAGCAGAAAATCACGGAAAGCCTTCAAGAACTGCCAACTGACATTGAGAGGTTGGCGCATCAAGCATATCTGGACTGTCCACCTGATGTCCGAGAAAATCTGGCTCTGATGCATTTCGTCGATGCAGAAATTCAGAAAGCTCTCAGATTAGCGGATCTGAAAGACTTAAAATCTGCCTTGGTCTACGCTATGAAGTTCAAGTCGGCTCAACAAGCGACTCGAAGAGATTCCCATCCTATTAGAACGGCTCAAATAGAAGATCCAAATTTTGATGTCTCGAAACTGAGAAAAGAAATAAGAGAGATTCAAGAGGCATTAAGAAGACCTAATAAAAACAATACTGGCAAGAAAATTGTCAAGTGCTGAAAAACATTGGCTCAGTTTGTCATTAATTTTTTTTCAATTAACTTTAATTTTATTTCAAATTCAAACTGTCCAACAAAAACTGGAGTCGGAGTCGAGTGTTTTTAAAGACTCCAATTCCAACTCGTTTTACTCAAAAATCTACCCAACTCTGATTCCGACTCCACAGACCTGCTATTATGGGCACACTGTGAAAGGCTTAAGGGGAAAGAGTCATGTAAAGAGGCTTTTTTCCAAATTTACTTATAAAACTTGAAAAGGTTTATTACATTTTGGTAAAGAATATGATAATATTGACAATAAATGCTACAAGAAAAACAAATTAGGATGGAGGTGAAAATTATAGAAGGAACAAAAAAACTTTTGGGGCTAAGCATGCATGAAAAGGAACAAATAGCATGGGAATGATTTTCTTAAAGAAGGGGAGCATGGCATTTTAATTATCCAAAATCTAAAAAATTTTCATTAACACTAGAACAGCCGAATTTCAGACTAACCGAAAACCGCCATTGGGGGTCAATTTGACCCTCATAAGAAATGTAAGTAGAAACACAGTAAATGATTCAAAATGATGCTGAAATGACCACGTAAAAGAGTTTTTAGAGGTTTTTATTTATTTTTTATACTTCAGAATTTTTTTTTCGTGCAATTAGCGCAAATTAGCACATATCTTTCAATGTAAGATTACAAAAACAAAAACAAAATCTTTGAAAAACAAAACAAAAGATACAAATGCAAAAAGAGAAAAATAGAACATATGCAAAAAATTACAAAAAATATAAATTGGGAATAAACACACAATGTTTTCCAAAGTTTGTTATACATTACCTCAGGTGATACGATATGAACGCTTGACAGTGACAGCAACACATTTACCACAAATTGGTTTCTGGCATCCCTCACAGCTGAAAACAGTCTGGTTTTGTCCCTTGAAACTTTAAAATGCACATTTCTTTCCTTTAATTGTCTGTATTTGAGCAATTGGGAGGCATCTGTTGCGTAGTTCCAACTCATAGTTCTTCCACGAGTGCAAGAATAAATTCTCGACAGGAAATAGAGGTGCCCAAGGATTCTTTGAATATAATCCAAGCATTGACAAGGACGTTGTAAAAAACATATACAGGCCATCTGCGACTTCCACTACTTGTACTATATTTCCTCAGCATCTGATCTGCGATATCGATGCCACATTTTGTACTGTTTTAGTAAGTGACAGTGTTTCTTTATGCTGTCGTCAACAAACACGTTGCTGTGCATCGTGCTCAGAATCACGACATTCGTTTTGCTCTTGCACCTATATATTGTGAGTGTTTTGTCTCCATTTTTCAGTGCAAAAGATTTAATATCGTGCCGAAAAAGTGTCACGAGCAATAGGGGGTAATTCTCGCTTTATTCAGACGCATCGTCCCGACAATTGTGGTTTATTTCGCAGAAAGTTCATCTGCAAGTTTCACAGAAGTAAAAAAAATGTCCGTTGTGACACTGAGTCCGGAGTTTAGATGTGGTTGCAGTAATTTGAGAACTACACTTTCCCCAAGTTGTAAATTAGTTGGTCGTTTTTCATCCTTGCCCAGATAAGGATAACCATTCAAAACATATTTGGATTTTACATCAGTTGCTAGCCAGGATTTGATGCCAAACGCCAAACTGTGTCCAGTTTATTCGCCATATACTGAATAAATCTACATCTTGATTTACAAGGCAACAATTGTTCATCAACGGTTATTTCTGGTCCAGGATTATAGCATAAATAACAGTTTTCCATTAGCTTGTACCAGGTTACAGAAGCGAGAGCAAATTTGTTAGTGGCGAGATGATCAGCTCTGGTGCTTCGGACATCGAATTTGAGATACCGCATTTTTTCACGGAACTGATTGCATGACATTGTTTCTTTGAACACAGGTGGTCCTCAATTCTTGTTCCACAAATCATCTGCACAAAGTTTTGAATGGCCTAGTTTTTTTCTTATGAGAGTCAAAATGACCCCAGTTGGTTGTTTTAGGTATATCTGCGATTATTTGTTTAAATAATTAACGTAGAAATATGAAAAATTGGCATAGTATACTTGGAAACATTTTAGAAAAAGTAAAAAAATATCAGCATCAAAGCTCAGCTGTATGTTAAAAAAAAAAGCGTAAAATTGGAAAAAAAGGTCAAAATGACCCCAACGGAGCTTCTAGTGTTAAAATAAAATCTTGCACAGATCTTGAACCTAAACTTAAGAAAAAAATAAAAAATTCAGTACACTATTCAAAAAATTCCCATTTTTTTTCAACTTCTTGTGAATAATCATAAATTTTTTAATGACGTTAAAGTTCAAGAATATCTATGTGAAATTTGAAGTCAATTGATTTCTTAATTATTAAACTAGGTTGCACACCTGAAGAATGTCTTAAGGAAACCAAATTTAGAGTTTTCAAAAAGTAGCATTTAAATAATAATTAAGTACATATACTGCTATATAAGTTTAATTTATAATGCCTTTGTACTCTGCAAAACCATCTATCTTGGCTGTTAATTCTTTCTTCCGAGCTGTCTTTTTGGAATGCATCACTTTGATGATTCCATGGGGGGTTTTTAGGGCTCCAGGTTGGGTTTATACCATTAAAAATACATTCTTCAGATATTAAATGAATTTTACAATCACTAAAAATGTCAAAAAATCCAATTCTACATTTCTCCCCTCTTAAGATAACTTTATATGACAAGCCTAATATACTTACATTATTCTTTAAGGAAAAGGTAAAAAATTGGTACATAACAGAGATGTTTAAGCTGAGCCTGTTGCACTGAAGTTGTTTTTGTAAGACAGAACTTTCCTGCTAAGCCTGTTACACTAAAGTCATCCCCCCCTTGGTAAGAAAGATTATTAAATGGTCTAAACATAATAACCTGGAGTTAAAAACTATGTAAATGTTCTTTGTCTAATTGCAAAAGTTATGAAATAAGTGATAAAATATGTCGACATGATTTTTTTAAACATTAGGTCATATATGTAAGATCAGAGCAAATTGTCAGATTTGAATAAATTACTTATCTTACAAACAGACAAATATATGACACTACTTACCTGGAGTTCCTACAGCTATTTGACAATGAAGAGATTTTGCTTTATCTTCTTCAAGTGGCAATCCACCGATGAAAGAAGCACATCTTAATTTTGTAAATGAAGATCCAACAGTTTTTATGACATCACAAATCTGAGTGGCAATTTCCCGCGTTGGTGCCATTATTAATACCTATCAACAGAAGAATGGGGAAGTAATTCTTACACACCTTATTATCAAAGTTTTTTAAAATATTAATATTAATTAAATATTTCAAATATTAATTTTAAATTTGTTTGAACATAGTTAATATTTTAAATAAATGAGTAGAAATACAATTACTGCTGTTGTATAGTACAAAAGAATGATCGCTGACATTGAAATTCATATATGTCTGCACAAATTAAGTTAAAAATTGTTTTGAAGATTCCACAAAAAAAAAAAAAAAAAAAAAAAAATTGTGTACAAAATTCAAATAGATTACTATAGTTCAGAATTCAAATGCAAAACATTTTTGCAAATTCAACAAAAATATATCATTTGTACTTACTTGCAAAGTCTTAATATCAATAAGCATTTCTAGAGCTATGACAGTAAAAACTAATGTTTTCCCTGTACCAGATTTAGCTTGAATCACCAAATCTGAAAGATAAAAGTACAGCATAAGAAAAATGTGTGATACAATATATGAAATAATAGTTTGTTTTCTAAATATTGCAATTAACTGCATTTCTGTCTATAACCATGCCTCCCTCTTGGATGATGAAGCCCGTTTTTATAATCATATCAAAATTATGCAATATTTATTACTCTATCCAACAACCGTAATACACATTTGGGATTTAGATATTATGATCTGGGCTGTGGACTCAGAGACTGGCAGATTTTGGGATAAAAGGAGTCGGAGTTGGAGTTACTAAAAACAGGTCGACTCAAACTCCAGTTTTTGATGGACAGTTTGAATTTGAAATGAAATTAAAATGAATTTAATGACAAGTTAAGTTATTATTTTTATTTACGAACTGTATACATTAATAAATAGTTATTTTCTATTTTATTGACATATTAATAAATAAATATAAGGATGGATGTGATGCGAACACAAAAAGTTTCAAATTATCAGAGCTGGCAGGAACTAATGCAACGAGCAAGCGGAGATTAAAAACACATTTTGTCTTACACACCAAAAACGTCAGTTTAAAAACTGCCTAAGCGATTTACATTCTGGGGAGGAAATAGAAACAGGAAATTATAGTAAAGGCTGAAATTATAAACAACTGGGTAATTTACATAATAATACCTATATATATATATTTGAAGAATACTTTTCTTTCTCTGTATGTACTCAGTTTCTTTCTTCAACACGCTTCCTTCTCATTTTAGAAATTTTGGATTTAATTAAAAATTTCTATTATCTAAAAATAAATAAATAAATAAATGCATTTAGAATGTATAGAAAAAGCTGCTAATTTTATTTCTTTAGTAATATGAACATTCAGGAGAAAAAGGAAATATATATGGTAAGGGTCAGTTACAGAGCTAGTGTGGCAGAATTTTTAGAATTTAGTGACACACCGAGCAACAAAATGTAGAAATGGCAAAACTTTTAGAATTTAGAGCAGGCACTGGAAGCAGAATTTAGAAAGGCACTAGTCAGCAAAATTTAGGATCTACAGAGATAAGTTTAATATTCCACATGATTGCACCAGGTGTGAAAATGCCTAGCATCAGACCTGTGTATGATGCATTAAGACATATTAGATGAATCTTTTAAATTGCCAGTTTTCAATTTCTTTATTAATAAAAAAATTCCTTTTCTATAATGCCTGTCCATGTGATAAGATTAGAAGCATTTTTTAATATTTTTCATACTTGTGTCTAATGAAAAGTAGAGAAAATAAAGGGAAGATAAGCATGTTAAGAAAAAGATTCTAGTATCAGAAGTAAAGCATTCAAATATTATGTTTTCCATTGTTCTTCCAGATGTTCTCCAAAAAGTACATTGCAAACTTTCTGCAAAATACATCCATTACGTGTTAATACCATAGAGACATTTTTCATTTTGTCACAATTTTCTAAAATTTTCTGGAATGGTGGGTCTATAAATCTTGCTTTCAAATCCTTCTAAACTTGTTGCAATGTCTAATGTCCAGTTGCAATGTCTGGTTGCAATGTCTAATGTCCGGAAGAAAAATTACGCCTACCAATTTTGTAACAGGAAACAGCCAGAAATATTTTTTAAAAAAACAGATGGAAAAAATGTGAAATTAATTTTATAGAGAAAACTGATGCATATTCTGAGAATTCTGAACACTCTGAGACAATTACATGAGAAAACTCTTATCATGAAAAAATTTAAAAGAAGATATTTTTAATTAATATGTTATTTTTTAAATATAATTTCAATATATTACCATTATTTTAATGATATTTTTATCAATGTTAGAATGCTTAAAAAAATCGTCGAAAAATTCCCAAATAATGGAAATTAAAATTTTCTATAGAAATTGATCTTAAAAATCGCCAAAATGTTGATAAGTCGCCAAATTTATAGCTGTTCAATAAAAGAATTCACACCCCCAAAAGCGAAAAGTTGTTTAAGAGCTCTTCATTAGAAAAAGTGAAATAATTTTTTCACTTCTTGCTCAGAAACTCGAGTATCCCACCATTTATATTAGAAATAAGAACAAATCATAACCCATAAAATTAAGGACCTTCTGCCGATTTTGGCCAAAATTAAGGACTTTTAAGGACCAAAAATCGATTCCAAAAAACTTAAGGACTTTTAAGGACTCTTAAGGACCATACGAACCCTGTCCTAATGTTGCCCTAACAGAGAGACTGTGAAATGATCTAGCAGAATTGGAAACTCTTCTTTCTACATCGTATATAGCCACAAAAAAGCTGCAATCTGAAGAATTGACAGGAGGCGAGAATGGAAGAATGGGGTGTTTGTTCTTTCTGAAATGGAGGGTTTATTGCAGAAGGGATAATTTTTTCAATAAACGAAAGAGAAATTAGTTTGCTAGACAATGAGATCTTGTTGGGTTCAATACATGTAGATCCGAAACACCGAATTTTCTTGGATGACAACAAATTAAAAAGGCACAGAAAGTCATTCTCAGAACAAATGAATCAGGACAGTCAAAAAGCAGACATTGTAATTGAGTCTCTATCATTCTCTTCTAGTGATGAATTAGATTTTAAGAAATATTTTTGGATAATAGTAAGAAGGCTAAGGCAAAGTGAAGGAAAATAAAGAACCAAGAGTTATAAAAATGAAAAAATACAAACAAGATTTCTACATGGCCTTTGAAGAAATAGAGAAATGTGATTGCACTTGTAAGACACCTCTTTTAGAACTTAAAAATCTATCCTGAAAAGTTCTAACAGTAACAGCTCTTCCTCTATTCAAGTTAGTGTGGAAAGACTCTTCTCAGCTCTGAAGTTCATCAAATTGGATCCATGGGCCTCCAACAAAGATGTTGCCGAAGCTATACTGTTTCTTAGAAATAACTAATGCCAGTTTTTCTATTTCATAATAAATGCTAATTAATATAAATAATTTGCCATGCCATTAATTTTTTTTTTTTTTTTTTTTTTTTTTTTTTTTTTTTTCTGTAGCATCTATTACTTCTTAAAAGAAGTTAAAATAAAATATTATTATTCAAAAAATAAGCTGTAATGCATGCATATATGTTTACATATACATATATGATATGTTTACATATACATATATGATATGATTACATATATATATAGAGGGAGTCTGAGTCAGAGTTGGTCATTTTCCCTATCAACTCCACAGCCTTGATTATGATGGCTGGAATATTACCATATGACTGAAGCAATTAATATACATTGTTTAAACTTTATACATACAATATAAATACTGTGAAGAGTATTGTAGTTTAAAAAGTATTACAGTGCAAAGACCAAAATTTGGAAGTCCAATATTCGGGATGATCAAATAGACTAACCAATAAATAAAATAATGTAACAAATTCTCCCCTACACACACACTTATCAGCTCTAGGAATGGTTAACACAACACTGAATAAAAGGAAGCAGGTGTGCTGTATATTCTCCAGACTGAGATTCTTGCATGTCACTTTCAAACGCTCCTGTCTAGGGAGTGTAATGTCTTCAGCTATTTTCTAAGGATCACCCGCAATGCCAGAAGGGTTGAATGTGACTTTTATCATGTATATTCACTATTCTTTGTTTCACTTCATGGCAATTTGAAGGTAAATACTGTTTCATTCCTCAGAAAAATAAGGGCAAGGGATTCTCATCCCTTGCTCAGAATTTCCACGTATATAGTCGTATGTGTGTTGTTACGGATCAAATGCCTGTCACAAACAGTGCCCGAATCACATTCTAAACCAGAGCATGGGAGTTCTTCTGAAAAAGTTCTAAAGCCTGTTGTGTAGTGGCGATTTTTGGAGCAAAAAGCACTGCTACACAAAGCCAAAATAACAAGTCAAAGACTTGCACGAACTCGGTGTCCATGTACCGCCAAAAATCATCAAGGGACACTCATAAATATATTTTTATCTTGTATTTTACTGTACGATCTAAAATGTTTGGAATTTTTAAAATGCCATATCTTGAGAAAGGTAAAAAACAAGATCTCATAAATCTGTCAGTGGGATTAGGTATAGAGGTTTCCCCCAATGAAATGTTTTTTGTTAGTGTTTTTCATGTTGAGCTCATTTTTATAATTATCTAGAAACTTATCTAGGCTTTTCAGTGTTATCTTCCAGGCCTATGGTTTCACAGCGAGACACATTATCATGGGCCCACCACCGGCCGAGCGGTAACATCGCTGAACACTGGTAATTTGGTCCGAGGTTCGAATCCCACAAACAGGCTGGCTGCATCGGTGTTATTGTGGTTTTCCCCATGTGTAACATGTATACGAGCCTGTTTCCCTTAAAATGTCCTCCATGAAGGCATCCCTCCCTTAAGGCAGATAGCCCTCAAGTGCTTTGCCGTAATCTAATAACCCAAACCATTATCATGGATAACAGAAAAGTATCTGCCTGCAATCCAAATGGGACATAATTTTCATTAGATGAAATTCATAATCCTGCAAGTCACTTACTGATAAGCTTAGTTAATGAAATTTAACAAATGGAAAATATGACAATGTTGTTTTCTGAAGCTGATGTAAGGTATTAATTATGTGGCATAACTTATCTCAAAATACCTTTGAGAAGTAATACATTGCCAACAAATGTGTTCATAACTCGAAACCATTTTTCATCAGAGGTGTTCTTGACCCAAGTTTCCACAGTGTCTTTTCAGGCCTCCCTGTAAAACGGTGTTTGCGACACCACGGTGCCTGGGCCAGAGGCCCTACCCCTGTAGAATAAATTGAAAAATTCTAATGTTGACAAAAAGATAACCAGGTTATGATCTTGAATAGGGTTAACTAACTGATCATAAAAATATGACAAACCTATCGTTGAAAATAAACTAGTAATGGAAAAGCTGAAGAAGACACAGATTTAAGATGATCAAATAAAAAGTAACTTCAGATCAGTGAAGAACCACTGAGCTGGCGAACAATAAGAAAAAACTGGTGAAAATTAAATAATTCTTGAGGGAAAAGTAAAAATTACACTTACTCAGAACAG